TCAGGGCGGGGCGTTGGCCGGCTGGGCCTCCATGGGCTCTTCTGATGTTCGAATTATTCATCTCTGTGCTATTTCCCGATATTTACATTTTAAATCAAGCTGTCTCTTTCAAAGAATTCTCCTGTTTCATGGGCATGTTTCGATTTTCCATCAATAGTGTGCCCTATATGTGTAACCATTGTCTTTTAGAAAATGTTCTACTTTTCTCTTTCTTTAGCCTTTCCCAGCTGTGATGGGAAGGAGAGACTCCTTTCTCTGTTTTGGTTTTATAGGAAAGGACAAATAATGTTCCCTCTACCCTTCTAGGGTCTTAGCTGAGACCCCACGCTCCCAATAAAAGACAAATTGAAAAACAGAGTTTTAGTAGCATGTACACCCAGGAAAAATTAGTGACTCCCAAAGTGGCCCAAGCCCTCACCTTAAATACTATCTCCAGCTAAAGACAAAAGAAAGGGTTTTTTTGGGGGAATCCAGTTTGGGGGGATTATCAGGAAAATCACAGTCAAAGGTGAGATTGTTAAGCAAATTGAGATCTGGGCGGTGTGAATGAGAAGCGCTGTGAGTCAGACCCCTCCTTCTCGCGTGGCTCCCTCCCTCAGAGGTGGACGCCTTCTGCCCGGAGATGCCCTCATACACAGAAGTGAGCCTCACAGAAGGAAAACTGCTACTCGGTTTCCAGAGCTTCTCCTGTGTCTGCTGCTGCTTCTTAAAAATAATCAGCTCAAAATAATTGTTATGTGAAAGAGGCATATTTTGGGGTGGCATTTTCTTCTCCCCTTCACAGCCAATCACAAACAGCCAGGTAGGCTTTTCCAAATCGCGCCAGTGCTCACACCAGTGCCCATGAATGGTTTCCTTGCTACGCTTTCCCCTTCTCTCTGCAGAAGCCTTCCTCGGATTTCTGCAGCTGGAGGGCTCCTGACTGCTTCCGTTCTGGCACTGCTCTATTGCAATCCATTTTGCTCGAACTCTGAAAAATTGTAACAGATCTCGGTTTATATTTTCAGTTTCTCAGTGTGCAAATGAGGATGCCACAATGTACCTTCTGACATTGTTGTTAGAGGTAACATATGTAAAGTGCCTCGACCTAGTAAGCATTCTATTAATTAACTATATGTTGCTCTATGCTTTTGTTTTGTCACATGGCTAAACAACTAAAAAATGATTTCATGTCCTTCATTCAATGAACAGTCATCTGTAGACTGGGGGGGTACAGTGCCTCACAGGCAGGGAGCCCTCTTCCTCGGGGACTTGGGTCAAGAGCGAGCTTTTTTTTTTTTTAAAGATTTTATTGGGGAATTGGGGGAGGGGAACAGACAAGTTGCTGTCCTTTGGTTCTTCAGTCTAGTTGTGGAGGACGTCACTTCACTGGCCCTTGTAGGTATTATCATTGCGCTCTTCCTGGGTGGGGCAGTTGCTCACCGGCCATGGGACGGCCACTCACTGTGACTCACAGCAGCTCACGAAAGTGCACGTCTGCTGCCGGCCAGCCCCAGTGCAGCCTATGCTGACGCTGGTGACTCGGGGCAGCCCAGCTCCAGATCGAGCTGTTGTTCACCATCTTAGCTGTAGAGGGCACAGCGTCACTGGCCTTCATGTGGGATCCGAACCAGGGCCCTGCTGCTCAGAGCTGGATTCCCAAGCCAACTCCTAACCAACGCACCACTCGGCCAGCCCCAGAGCGAGCTTTACAGAGCCAAAGGGGCAGCTGGGAAGGAGGCAGAGCTGGCCAGAGGGGGCCTCCCTTGTACGGTCAGCTGGTCCTGTTTTCCAGGGCCAGGGGAGCTGGTACGGCTGAGTGAGGACTGAGGTGGGTGTGTCAGGACCCTGGCAGGCATGCCTAGTAAGTCAGGCTGTGACCTGGGCCCCCCGGGGCTGCCTCACCTCTGTGGGTCCTGACTTACTATACGAATTAACTTTATCTTCCTCCCTTCCCTTTGATCAAAATTTAAGGTCTGAGCACCGCTCTGAGCCTCTTTCTTGTTGGCGCTGGAGTCAAACTGGATCTCGGGCTGGAAAACACAGGTCAGATCAGCGAGGTCTTGGTCCAATTAGTTGGCTGTTCTACGCGAAGGGAGGTCACTTGTCTGGGACATTGTTGTCCGCTCCGCAGCAGCTGCACGCGAGCATTGAATGCTTCTGAGACTGCAGCCTACCAGGGTGACCCTCAGCATGTCCGCAAGCAGGATAATACCCGATGTCTGGAGGGCACTCCACAGCCAGTCCCCATGACCGAAACCGACTGATCAAATGGATCCAAGAAAAAGCTGGTGGAGAAGACACGTTCTTGGGCCAAATGGCTCGTTCAGTGCTCTATGTGCTGGGTGTCAACTTCCCCAGAAGTGCTAATCTGAGGGCAGCAGGCGGCCACTGCAGACACCTCCCTGGTCAGCGAGAATGGGATTGACTTCAGCCAGGGAGTCTAGGGACTTTTGGGGGGCGCCTCTTGCTTTCCTTAGTCCCAGCCAGGGGATCAGGGATCTGCCAAAGTGAGCAGTGAAGCCTCAAGGCCTCCTGGTGGTTTCTGGTTGAGTCTCTACTGCAGGCCGAGAGCTGCAGCCCAACGTGAAGCCTGGTGTGGATGTGTGCAGCCAGAGGCGTGAATACGTAGCTCAGATCGTGAGGTCCTAGCTCGTTAACAAAAACCTTAGACAAAGAGTTTTCGTTCCAAAGGCTTTATTAGTCAAGCCTGGCGACCGCCTCACTCTGCAAGAGGAGAACAGCCCCGAAGTCTTGGCCGGTGAGGAATTTATAGCTGAAGCTGGATACAGAAGTGAAAAAAAGCGGTTAGTGGGTAAAAGAAAAAAAAAAAGCGGTTAGTTCGTTTTATTTTAACAAACTATAAAACATGGCTAGTTTATTTTCTTCTAACGAGCTATAAAACATGGCTAGCTTATCTTCTACTTTCTTGACACAACATTCTGTTATGTTTGGCTGAAGCAGGAGTTTTTAAGTTCCTCTGGGTGGGGGTACTTTCCGAAATGAGCTTGCCTCGCCTAGGCTCTGGGCCTGGGTCTCTGCAAGATGCCTGCTCCCACCACCCCCTATGTAGTTAGACACTGAGCATCCCATACCTGAGGGGCACTGGTCCTGCACAGGTGAAGCCAAACCCAGGCAGTGCCACCCAAACAGGTGTCCTGTGGTGGAGGCTACTGGGATAGGGGTGCAGGGAGGTCGGCCACGGCTCAGAACTGGGAGGTGACAGCCGAGGGGGTCAGTAAGATGTAAGGACCTGGAGGCCGCACAGGCAGTACCGTCCTGCTTCCTCTCTTGTTAGTTAGCTGGAGGCGGGGGTGAGAGGGTGGGGGGGGTGGAGTGCTGACTGGCAGGGTGGCAGGGTTGGTTACAGAGGCTGGCACGACAGAGAGGGCTTCCTTTTGTTCTGAGAAGCGGAGGCGCTAGAAATCAGCAGATGTTCGTAACAGGCAGAGCTGCAGGGCCACCAGCACCATGTACCAAGCAGGGTCTTCGGTGGCAAAACCAGTAATCAGATAGGGTTCCTCCTTTGCATGCGCCTCAGGAATAAGACGGTCGCGTTATCTCTCCAAGCAGACGGGGAAGCAGGCGCCACGGGGAGAGGGCTTTCGTGACAACGGGGGAAGGGCCAGCGTCCGTGCGCCAAGGCCAGCGGGGGAAGCAGTGTGTTTCATGATGCCAGCAACATCTCCTCAGCTCGGCTTTGAGGTCTCCATTGCTCAAATGGGCCCAGATGTCAGGTGGGGCCTTCTTCAGTGGTGACCTGGGAGCCCCGGGCTCCACACCTTGTAACCTGGCGCTGTGACAGTGGTCGGGCGTTCTGCACAGGGTCCTTTCCACAAGTCTCACTTTTGCAGAAGCCTCACATAAAAACCGTAACTATCTGTCAATGACAAAAGACTTAAAAATGCCCGTAGATAAAGATCTGACTTTTTTAGATGACCTTCACCTGAAAACTGTATAAGGGCTGGAGGTGGGTTGGGGCCAGTAGTAAAAGTCTGCGGCCAAGGGGTGGGGACCTGTGAGGCTTTTGAAGACCACAGGTTTTAATGTCATTTCCTTGAGTATTACAGTGTGCTTCCTGAGAGGGCATTTGCAAAAGAGGCCCCTGGAGAGGGCCCAAGAGGGATGCCAGCTGGGGGTGCTGAGGGTGTGCAGAGAGCTAGAGGAGGGAGCCAGCATATGCTGGGTACCCATGCCATCCGAGGTGCCTCGATAGCAAACAAAAGCCCCAGGGTCATTGGCAAACCGAGGGGACGTCTGCCGGCATCTGGAGACATTTTTATTTTCGCAATTAGTGGTTGCCACTGGCACGTAGAAGCCAGGGTGCTGCTAAGCATCTGACAACATCCAGGACAGGTCCTCACAACAGGACTGATTTGGCCCCAGATGTCAATGGTACTGAGGCTGAGAAACCCTGCTTGAGGGGTAGGCATGGTGGTCTTCACTTATACGGACCAGGAACCCCAACTCACGCAGCTCCAAAGCCATGCTGTTTCACCCGCCATGGTGATAAGAACAGGGTGGGAATTTGGGGGGGGGGCGGGGGACAGAGCTAGAGAACCAGGGCGTGAGTGAATGAGGGAGGGGAACAGTGAGGGTGAGTGTGGTCACCCTACTGCCACCGCACACACCTCCTTGTCCTGTTCCACAGTCCAAACGTGAGTCAGGGGTGGTAACAGAGACCACCACCTGCTGCCCGGTGGCTCTCGGTGTCTGACCCAGAAGCCGGAGCGACCGCCTCTCCCCCACCCCCTCTGGAGAGAAGCAAGGAGCAGGCTCTGAGCTGTGTTCGTGTGACTGCCCCCTCTTCTCTTCCTCGCGGGCCGAGCGAGGCCAGCTGTGGCCCCAGAGGAAGAACAGGAAGTTGTTCCCCAATTTGTAAAATTTCGGTGAATTTGGGGTCAAGCTGAGCCAGAATCATTCTGGGAAGGCCGCATCTTCAGGGAGGGGCAGTTCAGAGGAAAGGGGTGGAGGGCGGGGCCCAGGATGAAACAGTGCTGCCTCTCACTTCCTCTTTTGGACTCCAGACTTGGTCGGCCCTCTGGGGCGCAATCTGTCCAGCGTGCAGAGGACCTGCGCTTGCAGTGCTGGTGCTGTGGGAGCCCAGCTCTCCAGGGTGATGGGGGCCCCCTCGCTGAGAAATAGGGCTGATGGCACACCCTGCCATCCTTTGGGCCACATGCTGCTGTGGACAGCTCTCCTGCTCATGGGTGAGTCACGGTCCCCAGGAGGGACAGAGGAGGAGGAACTAAGGCAGGCGTGCTTTCCTGATTCAGCTGTGTCACCTGGGTCGGGGCTGAGCTTGTGCACGCAGGCAGGTAGCTTGGAAAATACGTCAGGAGGGTGACGGCAGGCCGACGGAGACCAAACCCTGACAACCCCTCTGGCCTTGGCAACTAGTGAAATTGGCCGGATTTGGGGACTTCAGTGTCTTCTGCTGAATCTTACTGTGCACCCAGGTCCCTGGACACTCTTGTCACCTGCACACCAGCCCCTGCTCTGAGGAAGGTCTCATGACTTGGACTTGACGGCCAGGCTGTTTCCCTTGTTAGAGATCTGTGTTTCTTTCACAGGGACCGAATGTTAGGCGGGGAGGCTAATGCTGTTGGGGGTGAAGGGGGTGCACACGGGGCAGTGGCCCTTCTTTGCACCCCTGAATCCACCCTGAAAGAGGCAGCAGAAGCCTCTTTTCTTGCTCTGGGGAGAAGCACAGAGGGCCTGGGTTTTTCAGGGGTGCGCAGCTCAGAGACTGTACCGCCTGGGCCATGCTGGAACCACTGAGTGTGGGACCAGGACATTGTGTGTGCCTGTCATGCTGCACAGACACAGGGACAAGTCCTACTCTGATTGGGGAGAAAGCCAGGGTCCTAGGCCGAGATGGATGGCTGATTGTGTGGTTAGCGGGGGCCTGGGCCTGGGGCTGATGCTCTGGTTGGAGGGACAGTCCAGGGAAGGCCATCGAGGGGAGCCCTGGGGCCACAACTGTCTCCCCAAGTTCACATCCACCTCAGGACGGCCCAGAGGAAGGTATGCAGCCTCTACCCCAGGCTACATGCATGGCTGACAGTCAAATCCGGTCAGCTCTGGGAGCCCTCAGTGCTGGGTGGTATGCACGGGGGTGCAGGAGAGGAAGCTAGTAACCCCACAAGCAGACAGGCCACCTCACTGTTCCCCTGGGGACGCCCAGGCCTGAGGAGGTGACCTGCTCCTCTGCCTCTGCTAATGGTGCTGCCAATGTGCCAGCTGCCGGGCAGGACTGCCACGGAGACTGGCACTTTCTTTCATTTGCCCCTTTGCTAAGTCACCAAGAACTTGCTCCATCTCTTCTGTTCCCACCTGGGCCACCGCGTTCTGGTCTTCATCGCTGGATGACTCCGTTCTGACCCAGTCTTGATGACGCTTGTGTCTTCTTCTCCAAATTCAGGCTGCACCCTGAGGTCGTGACATCTCCAGGCCATGGCTGAGTCACTGGCCCTCATGCGGGCCTTGGTGCTGTGCTATTGCTCGCCAGAGAAAGCTCTAGGTCCCCCTACTAGTCCTGCCCCCTGGGTCTCCCCTGCAGCCAGGTGCTGGGGCTCTGCCCCTTCCCCTTCCACAGGCCCCACAGCTGCCTGACTGAAGCTTTAAGTGACTGGCGTGTGCGGGCGCTGCTGTGGGACACGACAGCCAGCCCTCCCGACCTGCAGCACGGCCGGCCGTCGTCGCACGAGGGTCTGTCGAGTGAACACGTGCTCTCTGGCCGCTCCCCACTCTCTCATCTTTCTTGTGTCCTGCCCTCCCTTTCAGGCCCCCTTCTTCATCCACCTTCCTCCCGCCCCGTCGCCCTTGCCGACCCTGCACGCCCTGGTTTGCAGCTGTCACTTCTGTGTCAATAACTTCCAAACCCATCCCTCTTGCTGTGTCAAGTACAATGTTGTATTTCCGCCTGCTGCTCGGACACCCCCAGGCTGGTTTGCCAGCTCAGGAAAAGAAACCATTCAAGATCCAACTTATTACTTCCCCGTACAGATGTCCCCTTCCTCCTAACATCCCTACCTGTGTGAGCGCACTGGCCTCCCCAGGCACCCACTCGTGTCGCCCCCACACCTCCTCGCGCTCCAGGCCCTCGGCTCCGTCTAGGAGCTTCGTCTCACGCCCGCGCCCTCCCCCGACTCCTTGCTATCAGCACCACCTCGGGCCCCCTCACCTCCCACAGAGACTCACTCAGGGGATGGTTTCCAGAACATGGGCGAATACGGTTGATGTGGGCACTGCCCTCTGGGAGCTTCCGTTCTGCAGAACGGAAGAAAAATTTCTGAGAGAAATGATGAATAAACAGATACAAAGGCATAAATATAAACTGGAAAGGGCTACGAAGAGAAAACAGGATACTCTGATAAGAAACGCTGCCAGGGAGCTGAGAGAGCAGCCTGCTTAAACAGGAAGATGTGGGAAGCTTCCTGAGGAGGCGACATCTCAGCTGAAGCCTTAGGCGCCATAAGGACGTGGCCAGTGGGACATCCAAAGGAATCAGGTTTCCAGCAGAGGGGTCAGCACACACAAAGCCCCGCATTTGTGGCCTTTAAGGAGGGCTGGTGTCACTGGAGCTCAGTGAGTGGGGAAGGGGGCTCGAGACAGGTGAGGCTGAAAAGGTGGGCAGGCCCCACGCCAGCTGTGGCCTTGTCAACACGCGTGTCTACATTTTAAGAGCAAAGGAAGCCACCGAGGACTTGTGAGCAGGGAGTGACGTTATCTAATTTGATGTTTAAAGGTAGCGCTAGCTCTTCTGTGGGGGATTGACGGTAGGGGGCACAAAAAAAGTGGGGACACAAGTTAGGAGATGGAAGGTGGCGGTGACCCAGGCTGGCATGGTGGCCATGGACGTGGAGAGAAGTCAATGACCCAAGATTTGCTGTTGTGAAGGGACTGGGGCATGGGAGAGACAGAGACAGTAACTGGGGAGACGGTGAAGAGACGCACGTATCGGGAGGACGGAGAGACAGATGTCCTCTTGACAGCACCGCGTGGGTGGATTTGATGTGAGGAGTTGTGGTGGGGAGGGCAGAGAATGAAACAGTGGGAGGATGAGAAATGAAGACAGCCTGTGCAGGAAAAAGAATGGAGAAGTCCGGTGTGAAAGGGAACGAAGAAGTAATTTTGGAATTATCACAGGGGTCAACTGAAGAGTTTTGGTTTTTTTTAAAATTATTTTTTAAGTGAAGAGTTTTAATGAAAAATCCTGGAGTATTTTTTGTGGGTGGGACAGATCCAGCTGAGAAGGAGAGGCTGGTGATACCGGAGGGAAAGGGAGTGATGGAGAGGGTGAAAGGGACGGCCCAGGACAGAGAGCGGCCGCAGCCGGGGGACACTGTCCCCAGCGAGAAGCCAGGAAGGGGGCCGAAGCGATGACAGCTTAGGAGGACGACGTGAGATCTCCGAGAAGCAGGAAGAGAGCAGGAAGAGAGCATGGCCTTTAAGCGCGAGGGGGCTGAGGCCAGGACAGGAAGTGCGGTCATGTCCATGGTCACTCCGCAGACAAGCAGCAGGCGCATTTCAGAATGACAAGTGTCAGAATGACAGCTCAGTGTCCTTTGAAAATGGAGCCGGTAAATTTACAGGGACACCAACCGGCCTGCGCGCGTGGTCATTTCAGTGACACACGGCTGAACAAGCAAATGTGTGGACATAATGGGTGACTTAATGGGGACAGAGAAGGACAAGCGAGTCAGGGGGCTTTGCCAGGAGGCGATTATTTGTAACGAGTCATCGCTGTCACATGCCAACTCCGGCTGATTTTGCTCTCTCCCCACAGCTCCTGGTTCCAGGGCAGCTGGTAAGTGTCTCCCCCCTCTCCCCCTCCCCCAGCTGCCCTCTGCCCCCAGCACCCTGCCTGGGGGTGCTCCGAACCCGCCAGCTCCCAGGTGGGGCCAGGAAGGACAATTGCCCCCACAGGGTGCCCGGCTCCCTCCCAGGGAAGCAGGGATGGGCAGCCTGGTGCACAGGTGCTTCACCCCTCTGTCCTGTCACGCTGGATGACGTGGTCACTCGTCACAGCTGCCACAGAAGACAAGTCACTCGTCTTCCTCTCCCCGTACGCAGTCAGTTCTCCCCTAAAAAGAGCCTGGGTGGTTGTAGTTTCCGCTGCGTGGGAAGTCAGTGTCTGCTTCGGCTGTCCCCGCGGGTTGGCGGGTCCTCTGCTGGGCCGTAGGCGAGCGCCTCAGGCGGGACAGAAACAGAAGGAGGTGGTGGAGTGGACCCCGCCAGCCCCCGGCTTCCTCCTCCCCGCTGGCCTGCACCCCCGGGACGGCAGGCTGGGGCGGCCTCAGGCTCTGAGCCCAGGCCCTGCAGCCTGCCTCCCCCTTTGTTTTCGTTCCCCTCCGGGAGGTCACAGGGGCTCCTCTGTGCTTGGTGTGAGGACAGGCCTGTGCTAAGGGGATGAAGGACACGGTCAGGAGGGAGCGTGCCGTCTGGCTCTCAGGCCTGACAGCTCCACCATCTGTCGTCCTCCACTCGTGTCCAAATGCCTTAGTTGTCAGGGGAGGAAAGTGAGAGCCCACAGGGGTGTGCGGGGGGAGCTGCCTCGGGCACCTTTGGTGAGCACACATTGCTCCTAGGGTGTCTGCCTCATCCCCCCTCTCGGACCTCTTGCCTGTCCTCCTGAGAGGCGGCCAAACACCCCAAGGCACTTGGTACCTGGACCCTGAGGGGTGTTTGTGGAAGAGGAATCAGCTTCAGTCACAAACATTTTGGGGCCTGCGGGGGGCCCCCCTTTCCTCACGCTGCCTTTGCTGTCTGCCCCTCAGCAGCTCCCCCGAAGGCGGTGCTGAACCTCGAGCCCCCGTGGATCAACCTGCTCCAGGGTGACAGCGTGACCCTGAGCTGCCAGGGGCACGGGAACGACTCCATCCACTGGTTCCACAATGGGAACCCCATCCTGACCCAGGTCCAGCCCAGCTACCGCCTCCAGGTCAGCAACAATGACAGCGGCGACTACCAGTGCCAGACGGGCCAGACCAGCCTCAGTGACCCCGTGCATCTGGACGTGGTTTCCGGTCAGTGGAGTGAGGCCAGGGAGGTCCGGGGGGACGAGGAGAGGTGACACCTGCTGACACGGCCAGGCTTTTAGGGAAGGGGTGGCCGTTTGCTGGGCAGCGTGGCTGTGAGCTGTTTGAAGTGGTCATTCCCCTTTCCACCCCCACACCTCTTTCTATGTGGGGTGGGTGGCAGTGCCTCGGCAGACGCTGGGCTGCTTCACCTCAGTGCTGATGGAGCAAGAAGGTGATGACAACGCCACAGGCCGCCAGGTGTGAGAGAAGCAGAAGGAACCCTTTGCTTCCTAAAAGCCCACTTTTACAGCATGGACACAACACAGCTGAGTCCCAGCCCTAGAAGTTACTTTCCCTAGAAACCGATGAGCTCCTTCCGTCTCAGTCCCCCTGCTCAGTGGGGTACCCACGCCCCCTTGGCAGGCAGGTCCATGAGTGGCAGCATTCCCTGCCTCCACCCTCCAGCAACTTCAAGCAAAAGCTTTGCATTTCCAGTCCTGACACAGGGCAGGGCTCAACAAATGTTTGCTGATGTCACAAAGCCCCAGCCTCCACGTCTGATGATGGACGGACAGACAGACACATGAGGTGGATGCCTCCGGGAGGACCTGGGTCAGAGTACCAACCTTGGGGCCCGGGGACACCGCCATGCAGACTGGGAGCCAACAGAACTGTGGCCCTCCCAATGGAGTGCCCAGTGTAGGGCAGCTGGCTTGTCACTGTGAGGACACTGGGCAGGGCGGCTTCTACAGTGGACACTTGCCCCCTGCTCGCACTCCAGCAGCAGCTCAGGCCACAGTCCACCTGCCGACCGCAATGGCCGCCAGCTCATCAGCTGGGCCCAGAGTGAGACCCAAGTCGTGCTACTGGGACCACCACCTCCCCACCGCCAGCTAGTCCCGGGCCCACTTGGTCACAGCTGGGAGCCCTATTGCCGTAGCCTGGGCTGGACCGCCCCAGCCTCCCGCTCACCCCGTGCCTGCTGGGCAGTGGCCGCGGTCCAGCAGGACGGGCCAGGTGCTCAGTGTCCTGGAGTCCTCGCAGATGCAGAGCAGGCACAGAACTTGGCAGCGAGGGGCTTACAGGCCTCAGCCCGAGGCTCCACACAGAGGTCATTTCCCTGCCTTCGGCCTCCTCTGTACCTGGACAGGCCCTGGCTGTGGCTCAGGATTCCTCCGGGGCCTCCCCCAGTCCTGCAACCTGAGTCAAGCTGAGGGGCACAGTGGGGATGCACCCCAGGCTCCGTGAATTCAGCTGGAGGTGGCCTGTGCCAGGCGTTGGGGTCAGTTGCCTTCCTCAGGAGCCCCTGCTCCTGGGAGCTGGCCCAGGAAAGGCCCAGGGGTGCTGGAGCCCCGGCCTGCAGCCCACAGTGACTGACCGAGAGCCAGAGCAGCCTGTCAGAGGCAGAAGGCAGAGCAGATGGGAGTGGCCGGCAGGCCGTGGCCATGACCCTGGCCCAGGCCCTCATTAGCTGTGCTACCCACACAGGTCCCACCCCATTTCCTGCCTGAGCACCAGGCAGCACCTGGCCTCAGGAGAAACAGGTGTCAGGGTTAGCAGCAGCAGCTCTCCACCGGTGACTGTGCTAGCACCGCCGGTCCCAGCACGGCATGCAGCTCGCGGCCCCTCAGCCACCACGGCCAGGTCCCTGCTGCCTCTGCGCTTCCCAGGAAACCCCAACGTTGGCTGTCAGACGTGAGGCTGAGCCCCAGGAGGAGACACGGTGTCTCCACTTGGGTGCATGCTGCCAAGGGGTCTTCAGTAGCTGGAGGGCAGCGGTCTTGGGGAGAGGGCTGGCCTGGGGACCGGCGGGAAGGTAACACTCTGAGCAGTGCCCGCTCGTCAGCACCACCCCGGCGATACCGACGGTGCCCAGACAAGTGGGTACTAACAGCCCCACAAGCCACTGTGAAGCCCCGACTGTCACCCACGTCTCTGAGGGCCTTGGTGTGCAGGAAGTTAGCAGAACCAGAGTCTGGGAAGCCGCTGCAGACCAGGCTGCGACAGAGCTGAATGAAGGTCAGTCAGGGGGCCTGAGGAGGGGACAGCCATGTGACAAGCAGACAGAAGGCGCGTGTCCTACATGGCGGGCAGTGCCTCCACGAGTGGCACCAGAAGGTGCCGTGTGAGCTGGAGCTGGCAGTTCTGGCTGAAGAGGAAACCGTGAGAGATGTTCAAGAAGCGCCATGGCTGTTCACCACCGCAGCTGACATTGCTGGTGCCCGGACCCAGGGCACGTGCCACCAGGACGACAGGATCCCAGCTGGCACTCAGAGAGCGCTGGTTACGATGAGGCTCTCTCCTGGGACACAGAGACCCTGGGGAGGCTCCACACAGCCCTGCCCACACCAGGTTCACGCGGCACCACCCCCGTCCCCTCGGAAGCCTAGCCGAGGGTGTGGGGACTCGCGGGAGCTCACTGCTTCTCTCCAGGGCTCCCCGAAAACCAAAGAGGAGCTTTGGCCCTTTGATTACTCAGAGAAGGACATCTCCTAAGTGCCATGAACCTGAACCTGCCCCCAGGATCTGCACCAAGACAAGTGTCCTCAAGGAGACCGTGGCTGGCCCTGGGCACAAACCCACCACAGGCAGACCCTCCCACCGTGTGTGTTCTCACCTGGCACCAGCAGAGACTCTGCAGGGAGCAAGGTGCAGAGCAGGTCCCCGGACGGACGGGGAGGAGAAAGGAGAGAACAGGTTGCTGGTGCTACATGGTGGCAGCTTGGTCAGTTTCTCGGGGTTCTACTCCAATTTAAGAAATCTTTACAGTTCTCAGCATCCCCACCTATACTCTAGTCTTCATGAAAGAACCAGGACCACTCAGCCTTACCCTGGACTGGGGTGTCCGGCCAGGGTCGCCGTTCTCCAGGATGGGAAGGCAAGGACAGCCAGGTGACATCGGTGTGCTCCCCAGTGTGAGGGGCGGGGCTTTCGAGCTGTGACACCAGGGGCAGAATCGGTGCCCCCGCTGGCCCCTCTGGGTTGCCCCACGGGGGCTGGGGCCCAGGGCTCTCTCTTTGTTGTCACTCGCCTCCTTGATGCTGAGCCTTCGACCTGCCTTCCAGGCAGGCTCACGTGGCTGGCCTGGGCCTGGCTCGCCGCACGGCCGCGGTGTCTGCGTGGCTGCGTGTGGCTCTTGCCGCGTCCCTGCTGTCCCCTACCTTCTTTCCAGCCCCTAGTCTGCTCTGTTCGAGAGAATCAGGAAAAAGGTGTGTGGCTGAGGCCAGGAGCCTACCCACCCGAGGCTCTAGTCCTTGTACAACAAAAATGTTAAATATTTTTTCTTCATCAGTAAAAGGATGAAAGTTGGGGGGAAATTATACAGCAGACTGATGACGTCCGTGCGTGACACTGCTGCTCTCAGACAAAGACCCCTCTGAAGAAAGTCCCACATTCCTAACATTCACCAAATAAGCTGACGTTTGTTGGATGCCCATGACTTTCTACTGTCCCCAAAGACACATGTCTGCTATCTGCTCTGTCAGACGGGGTCCCCCCTCCTCTCCCAGGGGAGGGGCTGCACCGGGGTCTTTTGTGACCTTTCCACAGAGGCCTGTGGGGCAGGACAAAGCTGCAGCCACCTCCTCCCAGGACAGGAAAGAGAAGACAAGTGCATCCTGAGCACCTACTATGTGTCAGGAACTACTATGTGTCCGTCTCTATGTCCGTCTTCACAGATGAGGACACCGAGGCCCGGGAGAGCTAAATTACTTGCCCAAGATTGTAGAGTCCACGGACGAGGGTGGCAGAACAGGGAGCAGGCCTGTCCGGTTCCAAACTCGAGCCCCTCCCCCCACCCCGCATGCCCCAGCCGTCAGGATGGTCTGGGTCTCAGGGTCGACTCACCTCCAGGACCCTGTGTCCTTTTGTGTCTTCCAGACTGGCTGCTGCTCCAGACCCCTCGCCTGGTGTTCCAGGTCGGGGAGCCCATCGTGCTGAGGTGCCACAGCTGGAAGAACAAGCGTCTGTACAAGATTGTATTCTTCCAGAACGGAAAGTCCAAGAGTTTCTCCCGCCAGCAGTCCAACTTCTCCATCCCACACGCCAACGCCAGTCACAGTGGCGAGTACCACTGCTCCGGGAACATAGGGCAAACACTGCACTCGTCGCGGTCTGTGAGCATCACCGTCCAAGGTGGGGACCCTGTCCAGGTGGAAGGAGAGAAGGAGAGGGAGGGCAATCAGGACCAAGGTCATGGGACCCACACGGCCATCTGCAAAGGGCCACCGCAGCAGAGCCGGGCACAGAGCGGAGAGACTGGCCGGTGGGCAGGGGCCGGGGCTGGAGCTCAGAGCCCTTAGCTTCCAGGCTCAGAGGCTGTGGTGTTCCTTTGAGATGCAGGCCCCACACCCAGGGCAGCAGCGAGCGGACCTCCGCCGTTGGTGCAGGCTCCCTAAGCTCCCGGACACGCCTAAGAACTGAGGTTCTCCTCATTTCTGCTTGCTTCTCACGTCCGTGGTGCCCACTTGCTCTCCAAGGCGTGGCCCGGGCCGGACAGCTCGAGGCGGTGGTGGTGCCGTGGTGGTGACCCCACTATGGGGCTTTAGGCCTTCCCCTCACCCCTGCTGTCCCTGAGGACTGAGAAGAAAAGAGGAACCTCCCCTTTGTCCTACACACTCAGCAGCACACCTGAGATTAGTGCAGAGACCTGGGGTCGGGGGAGGTACGTGCCACCCCTGCGTGTGGCCCAGACACGGCAGCTCCAGGGGCCACGCACTGGGTACAGCGATGGGGGGCGGGGGGCGGACAGGGAGCATCCGCGCGTCCTGAGGTCTGTCCTCCCCAGGGTCCAGCTCCAGCTCCAGCAATGGCTCCGTGGTGGTGATAGCCGTGGTGCTTGTGGTGGTTGGCATTGCTTCTCTGGCAGGTGTCGCTGCCATAGTGGTCTACTGCAACCGCCGGCTACGGCAGACTTCAGGTTTGTGCTTCCTCTGTCCCCTCTTGTTCTCTGCTCCTCCCTGGCCAAGGCCCAACCCCAAGCATTGCCGGAACCCGTGTCTTTGGGCTAGAGAATCCTCACGTTCAGATGTAGCCCTGTGTTTTATTTCTTCATTCGTGTTCGTTTGTTCATTCAACAAGGCTTGAACGGACTCACTTATGTGTCGAGTGAGCCTGTGCTGGACTCCGGGCGACACAGGAGTCGAGTCCGGGCCCTCAAGGGCTCACAGCGTCGTAGGGAAGACAGAGATGCAAGCCCATCATCGTAATCAGAGGGGCTGGAGCAGTGACAGAGAAGCGAAGGCCCTGGGGGCAGATGAGCCTACGTAGCCGCATGGCCGGGCGCTAGAGAAGCTTTCACGGGAGGCAGTGCGGTGCACGACTGCAGCACCAGTGCTGGGCCAGACTGCCACGGGCCAGCTCAGCTCCGCGGCTCACCCGCTGTGTGACCCTCGGCCAGTCACTCAACTTCTCTGTGCCTCGTTTTCTCCATCTGCAAAAGAGGACAGGAGCAGAAGCTACCTGACAGGTGGTTCTGATGAATGAGGCTAGCTCTCACAGTGGCGTGCAAGGGTGGGCTGTCATCACCATGTGGAGCTGATGTTGCAGCGTGGCGTCCGCCAGGCAGAAAGGGCTGGGGGGGGGTCTGCAGGCGTGGAGCCACGGCGGTGAGGGCGCCGTGGCCAGGATGCGGCTTGAAGGGGCCATGAAGAGGGTGCTGCTGAGGCCATGTGTTGAGGGGCAGAGAAAAAGGAGAGGCAGGCAGGGGCCGGGTCATGTTCCACGGGTCATGCTCCTTGTCCCCCACTGTCCCCCAGCACCCAGCACGGGGCCTGCCACCCCGTGGGGCTCAGGAAGCGTCTGTTCCCCGGTCGGCTGAGGAGCTTCAGCTCTGGGAACCAGCTTCTGGCCAGTGGATGCACAGAGCTGAGAGGGGGAGGCCCTAGAATAAGCCTTCGCCCAATAAGCAAGTCGTCCCGACACATCGCACCGAAAAGCACTAGAGACACCCAGACTCGGAGACAGCGTAGGGAGGCACGACGGAGCCGCTGAGGAAGAGGGAGACCCCACCAAGCACTAACAGCTCAGCCGTCGGCTCTGTGCGCAGCCAGGACTCAGTTACCAAGGAGTAAATACAGGGACTCGGAGAGACCGGTGCTTTTGAAAGGCAGAGGGAGCCTGAGCAGACGCAGTGGAGTGGCCTCTCAGTGCCCTGCGGCTATAGTGACCTGCAGGTTTCCGGCCTAGCGCAGTCCCCTGGGGAGGGAAGCCCCTGGGTTGGTTCTAACGCACTCTTGCCCCTGGTCCTCGGTCCTGAGGACTCCGGCCACCGCGCCATTCCCCTACTAACCTCCTGTGCGCCCCTCCTAGCCCTCCCAGGAAGCCCTGAGCACAGGGAAAAGGGACAGGCTGTACCTGAGAAAGAAGGTGAGTGTGGCCCCCTGGGGACTGCCAGCTGCGGCTGCTCCCCCAGTGGCTTGTGTGAGTTCAGCTGGGGGCACAGGAGAGGGAGGGGGCAGGGGGAGGGGCAGGGGCTCAAATCGCTTGGTCAGCTCTGAGGCTAACTCCTGGGCTTACAGAGGACAGGGCCTCTCTGGAGATGAGGAGAAGAGGGACCCCTGTGCCAGCTAGAGGGGAGGGTTGTGTCCAAATTTCTGGGACTAGGAATGCTGGGGACATTTCCAGAGCAGGAAATCAGAGATATTTGGGTCTTTCTGTGGGGCTTTGGCAGAGTTGGCACAGGACAGAGGCTAGAAGTTGCAAGACAGAGGCAAATGGGATCGAGGGGGAGGATTCTAAGAGGAATGGAGGAGGCAAGGGGAAAACCCTGGGTTTGCTGAGGAGGCCGCTGCGTGGAGTGATGGCGGAGAAGGTCAGGCTTGGCTCTCAGTGGGACGCGGGAAAGTCCCAGGGGCCTGGAGGCATGGGTGGGCTTCGCGGGCAAAGCTGGGTTCCGGGCTCACTGCGTGTGGGCCTGGCCTTGCTCTGTCACCATCATGCGGGGAATCTTTAACAAGACATTCCCCCTTGTGGACTCGGCCACTCACTGAGGACATGACCTCGAAGCCCCTCCAGGTCTGACACCTGGCCCAGGTGGGGGCGTGTGGGAGGAGCAAGTGTCCCAGGAGACTTCCCGGCTGTAGTTAGAGCCAGAGCACCAGAGCTCCGGAGCTGTGTCGGGCAGTCCCGGACGGCCGAGTACGGCAGGAGCGGGGGTCCTCACACAAGGCCTCGCACCGCGGGGGGTGACTCAGAGCTGAGCAACAGATTTGAGAGCTTGAGCAGATGGCGCTGTGTGGCTGTGCTTTGAGCAGGGCCCCTGTCCCGCTCGGCCAGCCCAAGTGGGGATGTGGGGGCGTGGGCCTGAGTCTACACCAGGGCCAACTCAGATCTGGAAGGAAGCCCACTCGCCACGGGACCAGCTACTCCGATGTTTGGTTCGGCCTCCACTGGCATAAACGTTCCCAGAAGGCATAGCCACCCGCTGGGGGTGTCAGGGGACAGTTAGAAGGAGCAGTCAGGACGGGCTTGGGCCGGGAATTGGAGCTCCGCGCAGGGGGCCGAGCCGACGCTGACACGTAGTCTCAGACCTCTGCCCTCTGCAGACGCTGAGGCTGCGTCCCGCTGGCAAGGCGTGAGGCAGTCACCAGAGAAGCGCTCGCTCGTGCTCTTTCTTTTTAATGTCACGGCACAACCAGCTTCTTCAAAGTTCCCACAAAGATGCACTTGCTCCAGCCATAGTGGGCGTGGCCCACAGGGCGCTCTGGTGACTTCTGTGGCCACGAAACTCCACAGCTGCCCTGACGCTGACACTGAGCACCCCCCCGTCCCTCCACCCCCAGAGCCACCTGCTTCGCTGCTGGGATAACTCAACCCGGAAAAGCAAAAAGCAAAGCATGCGGCCCAAATGCCTGTCTCCCTCTGACGTATGGCCAGTGGGGCCCAGGCTGGGGCACCAGACCGGGCGGGCCATGCACGCACTCGTCCGGTGTGGGCTTTGTTTGGCAGCCGCCAGCACGCAGTAGGCCCCCTTACGCGGTAGTGCCCAGGCTGACCTGTCTTTTTGTCCACAGTCAGCGTCTACAGTGCTGAAGAGGCTGCCAAAAAGGAGGTGAGCTCCGGCCATGACCCCCCTTGTCACCTGCCCCGCGCCCCCACTATCGCCTGCCCCGCCCCAGCCCACCCCCTTCCTCTAGGTTTCTCCTGCGACCCACACCCCCTCTCTCTCCCCAGGAGGAGAACACGATCACCTACTCGCTCCTGCAGCATCCGGAGGCTCAGGAGCAGGAGCCTGCTGATTACCAGAATATGTAGTCCCCACCCCCGCCCCCACCCCCGCCCCTACCTGGGACACCTGGGGCATGTCAGCAGCTGGGGGGCCAGTCGGTGTCTTCGGCTGGACTGCAAGGACAGGGACGCTGTGGTTCCAAAGGAGGAGGACTCTTCCAGACTGGCCTCGTGGGTCCTTAGCCCCTGTCCTGAAAGTTCGCCCACCACGTCCCAGGTGACGCATTGCAGGTGACTGCCGGCTGACCCCTGTGCCTCAGCACTTCTCGCCATCGAGACCCCGCTGTCACATCCCGACTCCTCTGTAGCAGCATGGGAAATGCAACTTTACAGGCCGCACCAGAAAAATTGCGTAAACAGACATGATTGCACAGACGCTGAGCCCACAACACCGTCACATTCAAGTGGTTGTTTCGGGGGACGCGGTGCCGCTGTTCCCTCTCTTTCGTCATCTTTCGTGTATGGACCATGTATTGCTTTCATAATAAAACACTGTGGTGACAACATTCCCAGTGCCTCTGAGGCTGTGTTGGTGGCGTGTAGACTGGTTTGGGGGCTGTTTCTCGCAATGGTAAGGATCTTGGGAAGGGATTGGAGGGACGCAGGGAGGGAGGGAAGGCTGGGCGTGCAGGGTGAGACCCCCGCCCAAGTGGAGCACTCTTCCTGAATTTACGTCCTTGTTTCCTTGTCTTCTTCCCCCTCCTGCTCCCACGAATAAAACCATCACTTTGTTTTGCAACATCCGTTCCCAGGAAGCCCCGCTTCAGGGGAGCCCTCAGTGTAGACTGCTGACTTCCTGCCCCTCGATTCTCCTGTCGGTGCCCAGAAGGATGTGGCCTCAGAGAAGCCTTCCCAGCAGGTGAGGCTCACGACTGATAGCTTCCTGGAGGGTTCTTGGGTGCCCTTGGAGAGACCCCTTTTCCGGGGACCCTAACACAGCTTCCGGCTGCGACAGTGTTGCCTCCAGGATTTAGCTGCTGCCCTGGCTGCCGCTGGTCCATTTCATATTCATTCCACACTCACATGCTGTTACGATGACAGAGGACAGTCATCGCAGGGACTGTGCCAAACTTTGTGCTTTAGAATTAGAGAATGTAAGACTATTAGCCATTTCCATTTCTGCTTTGGTGATTTTCTTGTTCACATAGTCTTGCTCATTTTTATGGTAACAATGTATTTCCCTGGATGTATAAATTACACGGTGACAGCCTATGTTCTTTTATTCATATGTACATTTTTTACTGCACTGATTTTTTTAAATAAAATTAAAATACAGATAAGCAAAAAAGATAATTAAGATCACCCGTAAACCCACAAACCAGAAAGAATCAATGCTACTATTTAAAGGATGTCAATCCACGCTCCTATCCCTAGCGGTATGTGTAAATGCACATATTTTTAGAATTGGATCACATCATATTCTTACATGTCTATAAATTCACATAGACAAAAATTCATGCTCATTGTAAGCACATAAGCTTAAACAACACAGAAATATAAAGAGTAAAAATGAAAGTTCCCTTTTGTTCTCAACCCCCCCCCCCATCCAATCCTGTTACCCTTTGATTGGGTAACCAGTGTTGACCATGTGGTGTGTATTTCTGGATTTGGGGGTATGCATCTAATGCATATTTACAGTTTTTTAAGACCATAAATGGGGCCGTGCTGTACATATGCTTATGCAGGTGGTTTATTTTGATTAACAGTGTATTGTGGAGTGCATTCCTTGGAAATATTTTCTTTTTGAGGATTGCATAGTATTCCATAGTGTAAGCACGATATACCATATTTTATCTAACCAACATTTTCAACGTTACCAGTTTTCACTGTAATCTACATTGTGATGCTGTAAGAAGCTACATTCATGGATGATATTTTGGACTGCATGCGTGAATATTCTGCAGGATAAATGCCCAGAGGTAGAGCCACTGACTCAAAGGATATTCTCATCTTGTCTTTGAAAAAGCAGTTTCGGGCCAGCCGAGTGGCGCGTTCGTTAAAACTGGCTTGGGATGCCAGAGGGCCCCGGTTCGGATCCCACATGTGAGGGCCAGTGACGCTGCCCTCCACAGCTAAGATGCTGAACAACAGCTCAACCTGGAGCTGGGCTGCGGTGAGTCGCCGGCGACGGCAGGTGGGTTGCCATGGGCTACCGTGTGTAGCCAGCAGCCACCGTGAGCGGCCAGCAGCTGCTTTGAGCAGCCGTCCAGAAGCTGGCGACTGATCTGCCTCACCCGGGAAGAGCCCAATGATGGTGCTAATTTGGGCCAGTGAAGCAACGTCCTCCACAACTAGACCGAAGAACAAAAGGACAGCAACTTGTCTGTTCCCCTACCCCCAATTCCCCAATAAAAATCTTTAAAAAAAAAGGAAAAGCAGTTTCCACGTCCTCCCAAAGCACGTCAGGGCACCTGTTTCCTGACCCCACGCCAGGGTTGGGCATGTTTCACTTTTGCCAGTCTGATTATAACAGATGGTGTTGCAGTCCCTACGTAGCATGAATTCCCCGATTCTATACCACAGCCTGGGTTGGCTTTGGCAGAATAGCTCTGCCTCTCCCCTTTGTCATGTGACCAGGCAGGCTGGCTTCACCTGCTCAGGAGAGCTGCACCCCAGCCTGGGCTGGGCAGGCGCTGTTCCCTGGAAGTCACCTCCTGAGTAGAGTGACACTGTGCTAGCAGGCACAGTCCCTCCATCCTGATGGCCCTGCCCAGGTGACACCAGTGTCCTCCCTTCCTGAACACACTGTTTTTTGTAGTTTGCCCCCCTTGTATTAATTAGTTTAGATTTAATAGAAATCTCCTGGAATAGCGTATGAGCTTGATACCTCTGCTAGGATAGACTTTTAACAAACGTATGTTTCCTGTCAGTATTGGGAAGACCAGGCTTTACTATCTCTTTTGGAGCCAACTTTGAAAAACTTGGCTTCCCTAGGAAAGCATCCATTTTATCAGTATGCGTCTGTACACTGTGTTGTCTCCTGGTTTTTTGGTGATAATTTATGTGTCTATGCTTACATCCCCCCTCTCAAACCCAGCTCTTGAGTTTACTGTTATCAGTTAGGGTGACTTCTGCTGGAAATAACAGGAAATCGTGATTCAAATGGGCTTAAACAATAAGGAAATGTATTATCTCACGTAACAAAAAGTCCAGGGACAGGGAGTCCCCAGCACATCAGGACACGGGTCCACTGTTCGAACTTCTCCGGCACTGCCCTCGGTTGGTGGCAAGGTGGTGACAGCACTTCCACACATCACGCCCAGGCATCTGGAGAAAGACGGGGGATAACTGCCTCTCCCATGCGTCTCTTCCTCAATTGTGAGGAAACCCGTCTCCAGCAATCTTCTATCATATTGTTGGTCAGCACGGGGTCACACGCCCAGTCCTAAGTTGCTTCCTAGAAAGGGGAACAAGGTGACGTGCCATAGCTTACTCAGCTGTACCCTTCCGAGTGCATCGATCGCTGGAGGGCCAACCACCTTCAGCACCACGTTTATCTTACTCAGACCTGACAAAGGTTTGTCTGTGTTAATATGTCTTGTCACAGCCTTTGACTCCGGGATCAAGTCTTTGCCTGTGTTTGTCTCCTCACCTATTCTCCCTACTGCTTTATTTAGATTTACGACATTATTCATTTATTTCTAAACTTCTGTTTTTAAACAAACTCATGGAAGGGTCTTGTTCACGTGTGAGATGTGGGGATTAGCGGTGGGGGTCCATCTGAACACGTTTCGTTTGCTCGGTCTCTTTGGGGCTGGCCAAGCCTTGTCTTCCTCTTCTGGGGCCGCTGGGCCTTTGATGTCACGTCCGCTGCAAGGTTCACTGCCTCAGTGCCTCCCCCACGCCCATGTTCACCCACCCTGGATTCCCTGGGGCCACCTGCACAAACACAGCCTCTCAGATGATGGAAAATTTATTCTAAGTGCTTATTTTAGACCGAGAAATGTCCGCCCTCTCCAGCCATGCCCCGGGCTTGTCTGCTCTGATCTGCCGGCCCTCCCCTGCCCTCCAGCAGCACTGCCTCCCCCATTCCTGATGGCTCATCTCACCCCCACGTAACCACCGGGGGCCTGGTGGTGCGATGCCGGGCCGGCAGAGGAGGCTGGTCCCTGTGAGATGGGACACTCAGAGGCAGGGACGGCTCCCACGAGGCCTCCTGGAGCTGAGGGAGCTGCTGTGGCCTCCACGCTGCACCCATTCTGGCTCTTCTCGGGTTTCTGAGGCTATCAGGTGCCTCCTGCATCTAACCCCGAGGGCAGAGCGACTGGGCCTGACCCCAGGCTGCCTCCTGGTGCCCGGGCAGCCATGTTCTTTTTCCCCGGGGACTGTCTCTGCCCCGTGCTTAGTTCCCACTGACACCACGCAGCCTCTTGGTGCCACAGACAGCTGAGGCCCGAGTCCGAGAAGCGTGCGTGCAAATGTGGTTGGAGCCTGTGTGGGACGAGTCCGGCCTGCCTTGGCATCCTTACACCTTCTTTCCCTGTCTTGCTCAGTTCTGGTCGTCAGAAACATGAAAGGCAGGCAGGACAGGACAGGACGCTGACGCCCCCCTTGCCCTCCTAGCCGTTTCCCGTGGGGACTCCAGGCCAGCGCCTCCTCCTCCCCAGCTGTCTCCCCAGTGACACGGCCGGCTGTTGCCCTGAGCTCCATGGGCATCATGGGTGACTGGACAGCTGTCGTTTCACCCTGAGGATGCTGAGGGTGCTGGGACCAACCTGCCCAGATCTGAATGACGAAAGCCAATCACAGAGTTGAAAATAGGCCCCAGAAGCGAGGAGATGAGACAGTTAGACTTACTTCCTCTTTTCTAATTTGAGAGGTTTCATGCTGAAGACCATCAGGGTGCTTGAGGCTGCAGGAGAGCTGCCCCTGGCCACCATGGAGCTGGGCGGTGTCCTCGCGGCCTGGGCCCCCTTCCCTCCCGCTGTGCTCTGGACAGCCCAGATGCTCCTGGGTAAGTGAGTGCCTGGACGTTGCCATGGGGACGGGGTTGGCCTAACGCCGGGAAGAACCCAGGGGAAGAGCCGTGGGCTGCCTTTGGCCCTCCACGTGGGGAATAGAGCAGACATAGGGAGTGTGTGTGCAGGACTGAACAGCTCTGAGCGTAAAACTTTTCCAGCCTTTTCCACCCTAAGAGTCCCCTCAGCTGTGATGCCCTCTTTGGTGACAACGTCCACCCTTTTCTTCCTTTTTGCAGATGAGGAGTAGCCTGCATTTGCTCCCTCCATTTCCTCACTTGTGCTCATGGTCTGGCTCCCCGGGGTAACCCCAGCCCAGGCGATGACCTCTGTGCTGGCTGGGCCTTCTCACGCTTTACGTTCTTATCTTGTGGGACATTTTGCTGTGTGGGTGCTGCTGGTCACTTATCCCGTCCTGGCGCCCTCTGCCCTGCCCCCGACGCCATCTCCTTGTACTCCAGCCACCTTGAGGTTCCTTTGGCTGGCTTCTCCTGTCTTCCCCTTGGCCTGTGTTTCTGCAGCTGCCCCCTGCCTCCCTGCCCTTCTTTCTTTACGCCGTCTCCCTCGCGAGCTTATTTGTCAGTGTCATCGTACCTACAGCTGTAAACCCAGCCTAAAGCACACCTCCAGCGCTGCTCACGCTTTCCAGCTGCACCTTTGCACAGGACACGTCCCCCTGCACGTGTCACAGGTGTGGCCGTACGACGTGACCAGAGCAGAGACCGTCTGTCCCCTTGGTGGTGCCCCCCGCCCACCCCACCTTCGTCCCATCTCTCGCCATCTCTGATCTCAGTCAGGGGCATCCACCCAGACGCACTCGACTCCTCCTCTCCTCAAAGTTTACCCTCGCAGTGTCCCTGGAGCCAGTCCCTTCCCTGAAACATAGCGACTGTGCTAGGACAGGCCCTCCTTCCTGACTCGGGCTGGCCCGGTGACGTCCTACTCACCCTGCATCCTGCACTCTGCAGCCAGTGACTTCCGTGATTCCTGTCTGCCAGCCCCTGCTTAGCCTCTGCAGCCAGTACTGTCCCCTGAGCCTGCGCTTTCGCCCCAATAAAGCCCAGCCCGCTAGAGTCACATGCTCACTCTTGCCTGTCTGCAAGCGTCGCGCACGCTGCATCCTCTGCTGAAATGAGCCCCCGCGCCCCCTCATGCACACACATCCAGGCAGCCCAAGCCCTCAGCCTGGGGCACCTTCACCAGCAAGCCTTCCCTGAACCCCCCTCTTCCCCTCTCTTGTCGCTTTCCTCCTCGTGCTGAAATAATGTCTTCATGTGTCTGAGTGGCCACGAAGCGAGGCGGGCGAGGCCATTTGCCCTTGTTCTTAGCCTTGTCTCGTCTGGCGTTGGCGCCTCAGGCACAGTCGTTTTGTTGAGGTGTTTTACTGAGCTCACGGGGTCAGGGCTGGGTGGCGGTGTGAAGACGCAGCACTGGTGTGTGACAAGGACGCAGACATGGAGTCAGATACCCTGCTTTCAACCCCTTCTTTTCTTTTTACCAGCTCTATGTCACTTTGGAAAAGTCACTATTTATACCTCTGGATTTGGTTTTTTTATTCGTAAAATGAGAATAATGATAACCTACCACACAGCTGTTTCAGTGCAAGCACCCGGTAGCCCAGCCAGGTTTCATTGTGTGTATAAGGGAGTGGAGGCTGAGCCCAGCCGACCGGCAGTGGAGGAACTGAGAAGAGTGGTGACAGGGCTGAGAGAGCATCTCGAGGAGGCACCTGGTGCTGATGAGAGAGAATTAGGAAGCGGCCAGGGGTGAAGCAGAGGACGGGCCCTCTGGGAATGGGGGACAGGAAGCGGGGGAAGGAGGGAGGCGTGTGGGTGGCCACAGGGCCAGAGCGGGGGACTAGGGAGGGTAAGAAGCAGAAGCGGGGGACTAGGGAGCCCCCCGGGAGAAGTGGACTCACGCTGCCTGGGCCAACCACGGAGCCAGGGGCTGAGGAGACGTGGAGGGAATCCACAGCTCTAAGTGTCAACCAGAAGCAAAGAAAGGATTGTTCCCGTCGTTACCAGTACAGCCTGGGGGTAGAGGGTCGGGGTAGAGAGAAGGACACAGAAAGGACGCTGCCGCCAGGGAACATTCCGGGGACAGTGGCTGAAAGACGAAGGTCTGAAAGGGGGAGCAGGCAGCAGGAGAGACACACGAGGCACTAAAGCAGTTCGGTGGGTAACGGTCCAAGACGAAGAGCTAAGTGGAGTTTGGGAATTGAAAACGTGGACGAAATTCCCCCCAGGAAGGCCCGAGGGCTGCAGTAGGTCCTGTCTGAACGGCGAGGTGACAGCAGCATGACGTGGGACTCGGACACACCTCACTCCCTTGTCCATCCCCAACTCTCGTTTTCAACGTTGGGCAAGTTCATGGAGTTGTCTCAGCCTGTTTCTTAACGGTTTATGAAGTGGGGGTGAAGGCACGTGCCTGGAAACTTGTGATGATGCAGTAAGATGCTGTGGCCCGCAGCAAACACCAGCTGGGTGTCAGACTCGGACCGCGTCCCCTCCCTGCTGCCCTGTGTCCATTGGTGCTGAGCCATCGGTGTGTTGGCCTCTGTGTTCCTGCCCAGCCGCTGGATGTCATGCTGGCGAATCCCCATCCTGCTACCTCACCCCTCCCTCTTCCCCAAACCACAGTCCGTTCCCCGAGTGCCTGGAAGCCAGTGAGTCAAGTGGAAGTACCCCTCTGAGGCCCGCGTGGGTCTCACACTAAAAACGACGCTGTACCAGGGGAGGGAGAAACCCCTCTGGGGGGACGGTGTCCTGTCCTCCTTCTCTGAGGTCCAGCCTCCTTTTCTGTCCTTCTCGGACCATGCCCCCCACAGTGGCCAGTTCTGAGACGCTTCAGTGTGAAGGACCCATCAGCACCCGGGACAGCAGCTGCCACGCCGGTGACGACTGGGAGGAGCCAAGGGACAAGGACTTCCACGTCAAGAGCTACACTTTCAGCAAACCCTTCCATCTGATCGTGTCCTACGGTGAGGAGGCCTGCTCCTTCTCCCACGTCCCAAACCTCTCCTTTGGGACCCACAGCGCCCAGGAAGCTGGCCATAGATGAGATCCCTCTGTCCCCATCTTCAGCCAGAAACCAGGGTGCCCTCAGTCCTGGGCCCCAGAGGAGCTGTTACAGGCTCCCAGTCAGTGAGTCACGTGGACCCTCAGAGAAAGTTTAGGGGGCCTGTTGTGGGAGCACTGGGGAGCTCCGAAGGATGGCAGTCGGTGACACTCAGCGCTTGCTTTGGGTCACAGACTGGCTGATCCTCCAAGGTCCCGCCCTGCCGGTGTTTGAAGGGGACCCACTGGTTCTGCGCTGCCAGGCCTGGCAGGACTGGCCACTGACCCAGGTCACCTTCTACCGAGACGGCTCGGCTCTGGGTCCCCCTGGGCCTCACCGGGACCTCTCCATGGGTGCAGCGCGAGAGGCAGACAGCGGGCAGTACCACTGCAGCGCCGTCTTCAGGAGCCCAGGTCCCGGGAGCCCAGAGACGGCGCCTCCCGTGGCCATCACAGTCCGAGGTGAGAGCTGAGGCAATGCGGTTGTGGCAGCGGCAGGTGGGGGGTGGGCGACAGGTCCCGCTCGTCTCCGTGAGGTGGCAAGGTGGGTCGCTGAAGCCCAAGGAGCAGGTTGCTGCCTTTTTAAGTCACCGGCCCGTCCGAGTCCCCGGTTCCCGTCCCGCAGACCCACGCGCCCCAGTGTTCGCCCCTCGGGCGGCTGTCAGGGTCCTTTCTGGCACGGGCCACGTGACGAGAGGTTCGGATGGAACTTTCCTGAGAGCTTGTTCCTGGTGGGGAGTGTGGCTGGGCCCTTGGCCTGCTGTGCATCCCCCCGCGTGGGGCCTGACTCGCCCCCCTGGCCTGTCTCTCGCCCAGAACTCTTTCCGGCCCCAGTGCTCAGAGCCACCCCCTCAGCCGAGGCCCAGGAGGGGGACACGGTGATGCTGAGCTGCCAGACGAAGCTGCCCCTGCAGAGGTCAACCGTCCTCCTCCTCTTCTCCTTCCACAAGGACGGCCAGACCGTGCGTGGCTGGGACCTGTCCCCAGAGCTGCAGATCCCCGCGGCCTCTGAGGCCCATGCTGGGTCCTACTGGTGTGAAGCCACCACGGAGGACAACCACGTCTGGAAAGAGAGCCTCAGGCTGGAGGTCAGGGTGCGGGGTGAGTTCACGTGTGTGACGGGCGGCAGGACGGCTGGGCCCTCAGCTAGGGTTCCGGGGACACAGAGGAGGCAGGGGCGGTGAGCCAGGGGCCCTGGTGACGGCCGAGCACACATAGGGGACTTTTCCCTCAGACTGTGGTGACACCTCACCAAACCGAGGCCTGACCCAGCCCCACGGCTGCTGCCTCCAGGCCTCACGTCCCCGAGCGAGCCCTGTGCGCTGTGCGAATCTAGCATCCAGGTGAGGACACGGGAGTCTGAGTGTGCGCTCAGCCCTGGGAACCCATTAAGAAGGCTGCTCGTGACCCGAAATACACGAGGGGGTGTGCAGGGGAGTGAGGGGCTTGGAGCCAAATCATTAGAAAATTAATGGAAAGGACAGGAGAGGCTCAACCTGAAGGGCGGGTGACTCAAGGGGCTCCAGAGGTGTCTCCGAGCGCTGGCAGCTGCACAGGGAGAGGGATGACACCAGTGTCACAGCAGGGAGGAGGCTGGCCTAGGCCAGCTGCCACACCCCCGGCAGGGAAGGGCCACAGTGCCCCAGTGGCGAGGCCGCGCGCCGAAGGCCCCCCCAGAGGTAGCCTGGCTTCAGGTCCAGGCGTGGGTGCAGCCTCTGCTGCCCTGGGCCCACGGCTGTGCTGAGAGGGAGGACGGCTGAGCAGGAGTGTGAGGGCAGGGCCGGCCACACGTCACTGGTGTGTGTCTCCTGCCCCCACCCAGGTCCCCCCAGCCCTGCTACGCCCCTCGCCCTGAGCCCAGCTCCTCGAGAATCTGCTGCTCCAGGAAAAACGGCTACAGACCCCCCGGGGCCTCAGCCTGCACCACCCCCGTCGTCCTCTGAGGCCCCAGACCACTCCTGTCCACTGCAGGGGCCGGACCCCCACCTGCACCACAAGACAGACCTTCTTCTCAAACAAATGCAGGACGTGAGAGCTCTGCTTGGGCACCTGGTGGTGCAGCTGAGGGACTTGTCTGGCCGCCTGAAGTTCGAGACCACGAAGGGGTCTGCCAAATACGAGTGAACAGTTTGCCTGCGGCATTGTCCCCCGCCCCCCAAATCCAGCTCTTTCTATCTCCCCTTCTGCCCTGTACATACACACAAGGAGTTCTGCAGGTTGCCCCGTGTCTTGTTAGAGTAGCGGAGACAGGTGAGTCCAAATAAATTTGGACCGAGTGACGGCTGGAGCTGAGCTGTGCTTGTGTACTCTCTCCTGATGTGACAGCGTACCCTGCGCTCTTTCGAACAGAGATTGGCTTCTGCTGCCCCGAGCGGAGCCCGGGGGCTGAAGAGAAGCAGAGATTGACTTCAGGCAGCAGCCTCCACCGGGGACAAGCCCCTCACTCCCCACCCCCCAGGGGACATTTGGCAATGTCTGGAGACAGTTTGGGTTGTCACATTGTGGGGGTGCTCCTGGCATCTATCCACTGAGTAGAAAACTGGGGTGCTGCTAAGCATCCTCTAATACACAGAACCCCACAACAAAGGATTGCCTGGCCCCCACCTAACAGAAGCGGTCCTGGACTGGGGGGGCGGTGGCTTTGCCTTTCAACATACCCCCTCCCCCCCAGCCTCCCAGCGACTGTCATTTACACGCTGGCACCTGGCTGGCCTCTGCTACTGCCTGAGTTTATGATCTGCTAGGTACACGCGTCAGTGTCCGTGACTGCAGCCCCCCACCCCAAGACAGCTGCAGCTGGGTGGGAAGCTTCCCACGGGTCCTCTGGACGCAGAGAGCTGTGTGGAGGGCAGTGCCGCTGGGGCCGCAGTTATTTAATTACGTTGTCTCTGAACTATTTTTCTCAAAAACGTTCATTCACCTGTTTGGCGCCATGATAATGCTTCTTCCTGTGTGTGGACGGCTGAGGCAGGGTCTCAGCGACAGCCAGCCTGACAGACCCCGCAGGACCGTTGCCACATGATGTGGTAACGACCTCAGCCAACGCTCTCCTAAATCACGGGTGCCATGTCACCCACTGGGTCCTTTCTTTGTGTCAGTTATTCTGTGTGCAGTTTTGACCCACAATGATTCACAAAAGGTATGTATGTGGCCGCTGCAGACATGCCACAAAGAAACGGAGTAGAACCATGCTGGGCATTACGCTGCGAGTGTTGGGACGCGGTATGTGCAAAGCACGCAGCCTGGTGCCTGTCACACGCTAGGCACTCGCTGAGGGCGAGCTGGCGCCCCGTCATCGTCACCCCTGAGGACAGTTACTCATGGAATTCTTGTCATATGGTGGCACATCTTGTCTAGAAATTATATCGTGATAGGTAGGCTTCAACGAGTTGCTCAGGTAACGAATGACAATTGCTAAGTTTCTGTGTGGTACAGGGGAGAGGAGTTAGGAAGTCTGTGGGGAACAGTCCTTGAAGGAGGAGAAGGCGCCAGTTGGGGGGAACGGAGAAGAAGGCCTAGGGTAAGAGACGCTGGTGGGAGATTCGTCCGGCCCAGCTCTGAGCGCTGCATGAGATGAGCCCTGCCGCTGGCTGTGGGGTTTTCAGGGCACTTTGTGACGTTTGGTGGAATCAGGGTTCTTGTGGGGTTGGTGAGGAGGCTGAGACCATGTCCTGTGACGAGAAGCCAGGAGAGTCGGCGGGTGTGGGCTGAGGGGCTGCTGATGGGCTCCCTACATCTCATCACAGCTGGAGCCTGGGAGGAGATCAGACCTCGGGGGCAGCTGTGGGTGACGCGGGGAGCCCCGCTCCGCCGGCCGGATGTGGGGGTGCGCTCCTGAAGCAGGCAGTCTGCGACCCCCTCCCAGGGCCTACTTCTCCCCCTCCCCACTCCTGAGCACTTTAGCAATCCCAGACCCAGGTGACCCCTCTCTCTTTTATCAAAAGCTGCTCTCAATACAGGGCCTGAAGGGGCAGCATAAGCTGGGGGCGGAGCGCCTCTCCTAAGAGGCACGTGCATTGTTAGCAAGCGGATCCCTGGAGCGGAGCTTTGGGCTCAGCAAGGCGAGGGGAAGGCAGCCTTCAGGGGAGGTGACGCTGTCTGGCTCTGTCCTTCCTGCCAGAGTTCCCAGGGAAGGAGGTGCCCAGGGCGGGCAGGAGATTATGCAAGGAGACACACTATCGGGCTGGAAACTTCATTAAGTATTGACAGGGGGTTTGGGCTCCCCACTGCTCGGGGCTGGGGGGGGGTGTCACATGACAGCGGGGCTGGGAGGCAGATGGGAGAGGCTTCTGAGGGGCTGATGCAGGGACTTCTCTGCCACAGGTGAGGAGTACGGGTGTCACTGGGGGCGTGGGGGCAGGTGGAAGGAAGGAAGGAAATGAGGGAGGGAGTGAGGAAGGGAGGAAGGAGGGAAGGAGGAAAGAAGGCTCAGTGAGTGGGGTGCACAGGCCGAGGTCACTGCAGTGGGCAGGAAAGAAGGGTGTTCTGGCTTCTGAGGGTTTAGGGCTTCAGAAAAAGAGAAAAAAGGGGAAACGTGACATTTCTGTCCTTGGCTGGACACTCGAGTCCTGTCTTCCTGTCTGCTCGTCTGTGGGGGGTGTGAGCACGGCTGCAGGGAGCCTGGGCGAACCTCACTAGGCCTCCCCGAGTGTCTGTCCTCAGGGAGTGGGCAGAACAAAGGCCCTGGGGGGGACCTTGAGGACATGAGGATGGGCTTCCTCTATGAGGCTCACAGGGCCCCCTGGGGGGAGGGTCCCCTGCCAGAGCCAGCGGTTCCATGTGGCTCTCAGAGGGCACAGGCTGTGCTCGGCAGGCCCCCACAGCAGTAGGGCTGGTCCGAGCAGTAAGGCCGCTTTTGGGTGGTAGGTGGCACAGCTGGTGCTTGGGACGCCTGATGGCTGACACAGAGCCAGCCTGTCCCCTGCTGTCCCCTGCAGCACCGTCAGGAATCAGAAGCAGCAGCGTCCGCCAGTCCTCAGTGGTCAGCACAGGACGTCCTCTGTCATCCCTCCCACGCAGCGTCCCCATTGTCCTGCAGTTGCCAGCAGGCCCATGATGTGGGTGCTGGCAGCCCTCCTGCTCCTGGGTGAGTCCTGGAGGAGGTGACGGGGCACAAGGACTGTGGGTGTGTGGAGGCGTGTGGGCAGGTGCGTGTGTGTGCATGTGTGTGAGCGCGCATGTGTGTGTGCATGTGCGTGCATAAGTGTGTGCGTGCGCATAAGTGTGTGCGTGTGTGCGCATACGTGTGTGCGTGTGCATGTGCGTGCATAAGTGTGTGTGCGCGTGTGCATGTATGCGCATAAGTGTGTGTGCACGCGTGTGCACGTGCGAGTGCGTGTGCATGTGCGTGTGTGTGTGCTGGGGGATGGGCGACCTCGACTGCAAGCATTTCGGTATCCTGGAGGGGTAAGGAGGAAGGGGCTTTCTCAGGCTGGGAAAATAAGGCAGAAGGAACGCAGGGCTCGATTCCTGTTGAGTCTTTCCTCTGGTCAAGACAGCCCCTTCCTTCCCCTGGTCTCCAACATTCTCCTCCCTCCTCCTCGTCTCACAGCTCCAAGCAGTGGACAAGCTGGTGAGTGTCACGCACCGCCCACACCGCCCCCTGAGTGACCTGCTTGTGCCACCCACCTTTGGCTGTCCCCTCCTCCACCAGCCCTGTGACTCAGTCTGCCCGTAGGTACTCAGCAGTGGGTGCTAGTGGAGGGACCCGGTTCCAGCCCATGTGGCCTCTGCCCCTGCAGGGATGGGTGGTGTCACCAGCTGGGTCCTGGAAGCAGGAGTTTTCTGAGATTGCCCCACCTTAGAGCAGTCTCTGGGCCCCTCACCTTGGCCCCCTGTCCGCATCGGCCCCTCCCGCATGCCACAGCTACGCTGGAGAAGCCCACACTGTCTGTGCACCCACCCTGGACCACCATCTTCAAGGGGGAGCGTGTGACCCTGCGGTGTGATGGGTACCACCCGCTGGTGGTGGAGCTGCGGCCCATCAGCACGCTCTGGTACCTGGGTCACCTGCTGCTGCCCTCTCACGGGAGGAGCATCGAGGTGCAGACCCCGGGGGTGTATCGGTGCCAGACCCGGGGAGCGCCTGTCAGCGACCCTGTCCACCTGTCTGTGTCCAACGGTGAGTGTCCGCATGGGGGAAGGGCAGCACGCCACTCAGGTGGTACTGGCACCTGTGAGAGGACACTGGGGCACTGCCATCAAGGAAGGAAAGCAGAGGCTCTCAGGTCTCTGGAGTGTGTGTGTGTGGGGGGCTGTGTAGCTCTTTGTGAGGCGTGCAGTACAATTTGCTTGACCCCAAAGGCTCCCCTCACCCTCCTGCCACAGTGGACAGCAAATAAACCATTCCTGTTTGTCTCTGAGACTAGTTCTGAAGAGCAGAGGCTGTGAGGACCTGGGACACTGACATAATTGGGGGAGTGGGAGGGCAAAGCAAAGCAGGGAAAGTGGGGGTCCCTAGGCTGGCTGCTGCAGCTGTGTGAAACGTCACCCTAGACTGATGCTTCTTGCGCCCCCATCAGTAAAGTGGGGACAACAATAGAACCCACCTCTCTGCTCATCTTGGAGATCAGAAACGAATGACAACATGTCGTCAGAGGAAAAAGCAGCAGTTGATCAGAACACTTAGTCAAAATTCTGTTACAGACACATGTACACATGTGTCCTTAGGGGTCCATGAAGAAACTGCCCTCCCCCCGGGGGTGGGGTATACTTAAGGCTTTGAAACAGGATAGAGACACAACAATCGCCCGCGCCTCAGGGCACAGGATTGGCTACCCGGTGGGGCGTTATGTCACAGTCATCCACTGTTTGTGTTCAGAAATCAAAGGCCATCGCTCACAGCTCAGACCATCACTTATACACACTTCATGTCCACTCTGCGTTTCTTAGTTGGACACAGACAGTGAGTACAGATGAGACACTGGCCACGGTAGATGGTGGTCACTGCTTGCAGACCTAGGAGTGCATCCCGGCTCTGGCTGGTCCTTGCAGAATTCCTTCTGGCTGAGTCAGTGTCCTGTGATGCCCGGGGTGATCTGTAGACACCAGATGCTGTGTGAGGCGCCTGGGGGTGAAGGATGTTTTCTAAGGGAGATATGGTCTAAGCCTAGAGCTGCATGACAGGTAGACCTCAACTGAACAGGTGAAGGGGTCTTCCTGGCTGAGGAAACAGCAGGTACAAGGCTCTGGGCTCCCAGCAGGGCCAGCCTCCCCACGAGTCCAGTTTGGCAGGACTTGGCCAGCACCAGGGATGCAAGATGGGAGGGTACAGGATAGTGGGGGGCAGAGGGAGTGCTGGGCCGCGCTGGCAGGTAAGCAGGGCGGGTCTGGAAGGCCTGAGCCGTCCTCAGCAGTTGGACCTGGATTCTGGCGGCTTTTGTCTTAGCGGCTGGGACCGCGTTTCAGGCACCTCTGCGTCCCCTTCCCTCCTCACCCAGTTCTGAGGGTCCCAGGTGGGTGCCTGCCGCTCAGTAACGGGAGGGGCGGGGAAGAACGGGGAACCCCAGGGCGGGGCCTCCCTTGGAGTCCGGCTGTTGTGTGACTGTCTAGACTGGCTGATTCTGCAAGTGCCCTACGCCGCGGTGTTCGAGGGCGAGCCGCTGGTCCTGCGCTGCCGCGGCTGGTACGACAAAGTGGTCTACAAGCTGCACTACTACCGCGACGGCCAGGCCCTGCGCTACTTCCCCTCCAGCGCCAACTACACCGTGGCGCAGGCGCGCGCCAGCGACAGCGGGCGCTACCAGTGCTCCGGCACCATGCGCATCCCGGTGGAGAGTGCGCCCATGTTCTCCGCCAAGGTGGCCGTGACCGTGCAAGGTGGGGGAGGCCAACGAGCCCGGGGAAGCTCTGCGTCGGGAACCGGCTGGGGAAGGGAGGGGCGGAGGGTCGAGTAGCTGCCACGAGGCGGATTTCTCTGCCAGACCGCGTGCAATTTCTCCTCTCCTGCTCCGCAGGGAGGGCGCACCAGACCTGCAGCCTGGGGGTGGGGGTGTGTGTGCGTGGGGAGGCGGGTGCTCCTCTCCCCCACATCCCTGCTTCTTACTCTGAGTGGGGAACCCGTAAGGGGCAGCCGCGATGGTGGGGATCACTGTGGGACTGGGACGAGGCAGGCGCAGCGACCTCCTTCCAGGAGGAGAACCCAAGCTGGGTGTCAGTCGGGCTGCGACAAGAAGCGCCTTCCCCTCCCTCGTGGACCCGCTCCCACGTTTCAGAAGCCTTTCCTCCCACAAGGCCTTGGTTTCCCGGGGGCGAGGGGCCCTGGCGGGACACCGTGGACAGTGGGCCGGGCTCCCGGGCCCCTGACGTGCGTCCTCGGCCCGGCCCCTCTCCGCAGAGCTGTTCCCGGCGCCGGTGCTGAAGGTGGCGGGCCGCGCGGAGGCGGGCGGCGTCGTGGTGCGCTGCGACACGCGCCTGCACCCGCGGAAGCGCGCGGCGCCGCTGCAGTTCGCTTTCTACAAGTACAGCCGCGCCGTGCGCCGCTTCGACTGGGGCGCCGAGTACACGGTCCCCGCGCACGAGGTCGACGAGCTGGAGTCGCACTGGTGCGAGGCGGCCACCGCTTCCCGCAGCGTCCGGAAGCGCAGCGCCTGGCTGCAGCTCCGGGGCCCGGGTGAGTGTCCGCGCGCCCCCGGGACGCGCCTCGTCCCCCGGTCTCCCCGCTCCCTCCGGGCTCCCCCGCCCCCGGCTCCCCGGCAGCGGTGGGACGACGCCTCCAGCCGCGCGCACCCGGTGTCCGCAGGTTCGCCCACCGCCACCCCCAGCCCGCAGGCCGCCGCCTTGGCTCCCGGAAACAGGCAGCTTTCCTTCCAAAAGTCCCTGGTGTCCACGTCGGGCCCGTCGGTCACTTCCATCCCTAACGCCACCTCAGCGGGCCTGCGGGTCCCCACGGGCAGAGCTGCCTCCGTGGCGCCAGCCGCCTGCGCTCCGCGGACGCCCCTGGAAGAAGCCGCGGGGGCCCTGAGACCCGACGTGGACCAGCTGCTCCGAGAAATGCGGCTGCTCAGAGGCCTTCTGAGCCGCGTGCTCCTGCAGCTGAAGGGCCCGCAGGCCTTCCCCGAGCGCGGGGCGACCCTCCAGACGCCCCCTGCCCGCTCGGCTGGCGCCCCCGGAGCCCCGGAGCCCTCCGCTGCGGGGAGCTGAGCGGCGGCCCCACGCCCTCTCCAGGCCCACGCGTCCCGGGGCTTTCCCTCCGCGTCGCCCAGACCTCGCGAAGCCGTCTGCTCGCGGCCCTTGGTTCTGCTGTGGTTTTTCGGAAGCACATAAAGTGTGGTGGGGCGGATTTCAGTCTCGGAAGCTTATTTGAGCGGCTTGTAACCACAAGGCCTCCCCATCGCTTCCTTCCTTCCGCTCACAGAGTTCAGGACGGAAGTGGGAAGCTGCTCCTTATTACTTGGAGGTTTACGGTTGGAAGTGAATCTGGCCATCCTTAGCGATTCAGGTAGCCCCCCGCCCCCCGCCCCCCCAGGACACCCTGCAGCACAGGTCAGGTTTTGGTATTTGGGACGTTTTAGGATCAAGTGGTAATTATTCAGAATGGATTTAATGCTAATTTAAAAAAGGCTTTCAGTTCTATTTCTGATGAGTTTATACCCTTGAAGTGCTGAGTTTGACTTAGTTTTAGAGGCGGAAGGTATTTGTTGGACCTCCCATACCCCAGGCTGTACGGGTCAGAGTTGGGCTAGCCGCGCCCCCCACTCCCCCCCCCCCCACCATGGGCCTCCGACCCAGGCAGCAGCGGGCAGGTACCATCCACATCCAGAAATCTCTTTGAAGGAAGTTTAAGGCAAATCCTCAAAATTGCTGAATTCTAGTTTTTAGCAGTTTTATACTCCCTAAGAGCCATGCCAGCACTAGCACACCGAGACGCACATGTGCCCTGACCCATGTCCCACCCTGCATGGGGACTCTACTGTCGCCTGAAGGAGAAAAGCAAGAGGCGGTGGGGACTGCAGTTCCAGGGGTGGGCTCCCTGCAGGGCCCGCTTCCACGAGCCCCGTGTGCCTTCTGGGACCCCTGGCTCCCGACAGGGCTGGTGCGGCTCCTCCCGGAGTCCAGCTCTCCTGGGGCCTGGGCCCTTCCTTAGCCAAGTCCTTAGCCAAGCCCCGGTGTTCATGCTGAGAGCTGACAGCAGCTTTGCCCACCTTGCTTGCCCTTGACTGACATTCGGATCCGATCGTGAGGGGCGTGTCAGTCCCCAAGTGGACATGTGGAGAGGACTGAGGGGCTGGGCTTGGAGGCTGGGGATGCAGTCGTATTTTGCGGAGATGCGAGGGACCCTACATGTGTGTAGAGCTGCATGTAAGTGTTGTGGTTGGAGAACTGTGTGTGTTTTGAGGTTGGGGCAGGGGTGTTTTAGGGAGAAGGTGGCAGGACACAAACATGGAGCAGCGGAAGGGGCCAGAAAGGAAGTCCTGTTAAGAAGTCCTCTAGCCTGTTGGGTGTCTGGGGTGGAAGTCTTTGCTAGGGCATCAGCGAGACTTCCTGGGGGAGGTACTCATTTAAAATTAGGAAAGAAAATCAAATAAGCGGGCCTCAGCGGACGCTTGCTTACCCCCCAGGTCTGTCCAGGCCCTTGTGGTCGGCCTGGCACTTGGTGGCTTTGCATTCCAGCTCTCGGTGTCTTCTGAGAACGCTCTGCCCAGCGAGCCCTGTGTTAAGCCCACTCCTTCCTCCTTCTGTTTCTGTTCCCCTGGGGTGCTGCCACCCTGATATAGACAGGAAGTGACTAGCACTAGCACCAAGAGGTTTAGCAATCCAAGGATCGCAAGTAAAAAAAATAAATAAATCAGTCGATTGTTTTGTAAGAGAGCAAAAAAGTGAAGTAGACCCTCACGGGAGAGCTAGTGTGGCTGTCGCTCCTCCACTCACACCTTGTGAACAGCCGGTAACCTTTCTGTCCTAACACCTAGTTCCTTTACTGCAGGGGATGTAGGTGGGAGGAGAAGGGCTGACATGCAGATCACTCAGGACTCAGCTCTTT